AGTCTTTCTTTCATTATTAAATGAACTTTAAGTTTGTTTCAATATTCATGTAAATATATTAATCCAATACAAAATTTCTCTATAGCTTTAGATTTTGATAACCATTACTTGGGCTGACAATTTGCTCATTGAGTAAACCTGCACAGCCTCCGGAAACCACTTTTTAGCGACATCTTACTCTTTTACAACTTCCAAGCTCCTTGTAAGACTTTAAAGACTTCAATATCCTGCACAAGAAGTACAAATGAAAAAGTAAATAGTGGTTAGGAGGATAGCATGGTTATAAGAAAGTACGATTTATAGAGTTCCATAATTAATCTCTTTCTATTCACTAAAAAAAATCCATTTTTAAGGGTAGGCATCGCTTAATAAGGGATCCCTAATAAAGGACGACCCTGGGGCCAAACAACGGGACATTAATTCCTATACTTGAAGAATCTCGATATTAGAGCATAAAAAACCCCGTTATATGACAAATATAAACCTCAATCCCTTAACTATAGGAACCCGTACTAACTCTACTTGACAATCTCATTTTATTAATAGTGGAGCTTATATTCTTGCCAACCGAAACCTCAAACCCATTGACATGGGATCTCACTCCCATAAACCTGAAGATCTCGTTTTCTTTCTTGTTCAATGTACGAACGCCAATCCCAAACCGAGGGAACTTTCGCAATAGTGGTTCAGCGATTCCCGAACCGATCCAACTCCCGTGTCCATCAACTATGGGTCAACTTTATTTCATTATTTAGAGCCTTACCCATATATAAAACTTTTTCCTTGTTTCAATTGATCAGAGGTTTGGACACTACATAAAACTCTTTCTCAAGCCCGAATCTCAGGCGATTTTATGTGACCTGGCCAGAAGTACGATTATACATCTGTTTAAAAGACTATTTTTTTTTTTTTTTTTTTTAATTGTTTACATTGCATTTGATTGGATGAATCTTCAAACACACATGTATCAATAAGATGAAACCAAATTGCTGAGTTATTTTGGTCAAATGATCTCGGCCCAATTCATCTCCAAGACTAAAATTCTGCATTTTGACGAAGGCCGGAAAACATAAATCCCTTAATCTCGAGTTTTGAATTTAACATGGCATTTTGCATCAGTTCACCCATCAATAAACTCTCCTAAAACATATGGCTACTTTCGTTATGAACATAACCATAATACCACTTTTTCTTTGTCCTTTCTTTTTTCTGAAAAAAATATAAGAAAAGAAAACATAATAACACTTTGTATTATTAAAACCATAGAAGACTTGATGCATAGAAGCATCATTGACTCTTCTAAATTCTATTAGACATTCATGTACCTCAATGTCTCTAGGACACATGAAATTCATCATCTATGGGACAAACTTGACCAACCCCTCTAGACATGGATCCATAAGACTACCCACATCTCATTATTCAAGGTAAGATTGTCTCAAGGAGTATAGAGTTGAGAATTGGGGGTATAATTTCTAGATCAATCACTGACGTTCTCTAAATAGGATTAAACTTTATAAGCTTAGTCTCACCGTGCATCTAGACACCAACCATTCATGGATAATTGACAACCTACACAAATCCAGGCTTACAGTTCCCCTCCCACATTACCTTGGAAACATCATCCCAACTTTCTTTAGTGCCAACTTTCACAGTGATTAATTAATCTTATTCTAAATCTCGCCGCAACGTCCTCACAAATGTTTCACCCATAAAAGAGCTTCTCTTCTTAATCTGAGGCTTTGTCCGCTCCAAGGTTAGAGCAGTAATGCAAGAAAAACTGGGTGCCTTTCACCGGAACAATGTACATGCTGCAATGTACTTTTGGTTTGGCCTGTGAGAGGGACCTGCCCTCCAATAGCGCCCAGTGCATGAGGAATAATACAGTATACGAGTTTCACAAGAAAAACGTGTTACGAGCATAAACAATAACATGGATCTAATCCAAAAAACACTCCTTTGCACCACAGCATGTGGCATGAATTGAACAATTTTGGATCTTCCTTCCAGCTGAAAGGTCCAAGTTTGCATTCTGGTCAAGGTTGCTGAACTCTGCCAGCCTACCATTTCTTCCACCAGTAGGGAAACACAGTCATGAGCAACTCACACACACACACACACAAAATATAAATGCCTAATTTCTCAATTGAATAATGTCTATTCTTTGCTGTAAAGGTTGGCCATGAATCATAATTATATGACTTGTTATCATGTGCTCTCTTTCATTTCAAGTTAAACAGAAAAGTGTCACAGACATAAATACCTAATTAAAAAAAAATACCAAAACTATGCTAGATTACAAAGTTAAGCCAAGTTAGATTGGAGTCAATTTACAGAACACGAGTCACTTCAGGGCATAAAGTGCAGAATATGTCATCAAAGATGGCAGGAAAGGACTATAGTTCTCAGAATTGCTCCTGAATATGTCTATAAAAAGCAACACTTTGCATAAACATTAAGCACTAAGCTAAGTTGGGGGAACAAGCAACACAAAGTAAGGTCCGAAGTTCAATTTGGGTTTCAGAGAGACTCACATAAGAGTAGGCATGCACACTGTTAAGCTCAGATTTTCTTTGACTAAGATACTCGAAATTTCTTGATGAGTTTACCTCATCCAAACAAAGTAAAGAAGGACGAAAACCCATAGCAAAATGCCAGCTTGCACTTTCCTGCATATAAACATACAAAGAGAATGAATCTCCAGAAGCTCTTCGTAAAATAGTATGCAACATGAATGTTGTGCAAGGCACTACAAACAAATACAGAGACGTGTAGCAGCTGTCAGCACACATATACATTTATGAGCTACTTGT